GGGGTCCGGGCCAGGGGGCGGGCAGAGGCGTCGGTCCGCCTCACGGATGGGTCTGAAATCCCGCCGATCGTGCCGAAAAACAAGGTCTCCTTTTAGGTAGCATGCAGAGCTTAAAAAAAAGAGGTTTGCGGTGTTTGTGGGGTTTTTTTTAAAGTCACTTCAGGGACCATCTACAAACTACACTGCTACGTTCACGGCTAAAAAAAAAGAGGCTTTTAAATATTTCAGAGCAGAAAGGTCGATAACGAGTAGTTCAGAGCCAAACAAAATGGCAGAAACAGCCTGAAACGGGAAAAGAAACTGGGGAAGAAAGCGGGAGCTCGGTAATGGCGGGCAGCGGCGGGGTCTGGAGGCCGGCGCAGCCAGCCCAGCGCCCAAGTGAGACACCGCACCCAGGCAAATAGTCATGCTTCAGCACAGGTTTGTGGGGACGATCAAATATAGCGGTAGTTTGAAGTTCAAATTAACCCAGAGTAACGTTTCTCACGATACTTAGGCTCCAGTTGCCCAGCAGCTAAGGGATTAGGAAGGTAGGAGCAGGGCTTGGCCGACGGGACCATGGTGGGCTTTGGTCAACGGGAAGCCGCAGACTGAATGGCAATGAAATTCTAGCAGAACTGAGAGCATTTGCTGGCATTTAGGCAAAAGTACACGACATTTAGTTACTCCTGTTTACGAGGCGTTGTAATAAAACACAGTGAACTTGATTCTTCTGGGTTCATTTTCAAAGTAACGAGTGCAACCATGACCTAACCACTTAGCCTGTCACCACAGACCTCTCTTGGATAAGATACAGTGGTCACTTGAAGTAAAATACTGTACCAAATTTCTGAAGTGCCTGAAAATTTATATAGAAAGATAGAAATACACGATTTCCTCAAGTTACTCCCTGAAACTTTAAAATACAAACCTTCAAAACCAAAAGTAGTTTCCCTTGAAAAATCTGCACAAATGCCTACATGTCAAAAGCTTTAAGTTTAATATGAGGGGACTGGAAGTTGTGTCTATTCTGACTAGACCATGGCTGAGCAAGAGCTAGCACACCAGGATGGGAAATATTTTAGTCTCTTCTTAACCTAGCAGACTGAAAATAAAATAACACTGGAGCAGGTTGCCCAGAGAGGCTGTGGATGCCCCATCCCTGGCAGTGTTCAAGGCCAGGTTGGATGGGGCTTTGAGCAACCTGGTCTAGTGGAAGGTGTCCCTGCCCATGGCAGGGGGGCTGGAACTAGGTGGTGTTTAAAGGTCCCTTCCAACATAAACCACTCCATGATTCCATGTAAATAGTCATATTGTCATATTCCAAGTAGGAATAAAAACCACTTTGTAAGGTATGGAGCCCAAACCAGAAGGCATTAGTAAAACCTGGTTGAAACCGCAGTGCCCACTGATTGTGCCTACTGCTTGCATAAGTGATTGGCAAGTCAGATCTAAACAAGATACTTTGCTGCATGTGCAACATTCACTGCCATTTTTTGTTTGCAATCCAAGAGGAATATCTTTAGACAATCTGCATTTATTTCAGAGAGTTTTCTTACTTTTATTAAATAACAAATGGCTATAGCCTTTGGCTGGCACTCTTGATGTGAATATTTTGAAGAGTGTGTAACTAGCTAACTTGTTAGACTTGAATCACTGGCCCAATTAGCAGGTATGCACTTGCTTCGACAAAAATCAAAACATATTTGGGTGCAGTAACCATGGAAATTCAAGGCTAGAGGTACTTCTGAAGAATTTATGGATAATTTTGTACTTCCAGATTTAGATTTCACTTCTGATGTATAATTTTTGTTTGCACTTGAAATACACTGTAATAGCATGGTGCAATCTCAAATGGCATTCTCATTTATAAAAATAGGTACCCAACACATTTTCCAGAGAGAAAAGTATGTCTGGTAAAACAACATGAATAAGTACTTTGATAACATTATTAAAAAAAATTTATTTTTACAAATAATCAGAAAATTCAAAGATGCTGGAACCTGAAGTTTGTCTAAATACACAGTATTTGCAGTATTATGTCCATTGATAACTGATGTTATTTAAATAACAATGGCATGTTGCTTCACTTCAGACTGACAAAGGTAATAAAGGTGATGTACGGATCTGACAGACTTCAGAAGGCAAGTTCAAGTCAAACAGTTGAAGTGTTACCACTCCAAGCCTTGTGCTCCACTCTTCTGATTTGTATTTCCATCTTCAAGCAGCGCTATATGATCTTGTAATCAGTTCTCCATCCATCATCCTTTGTGCCCCAGCTTGCTAGAGTAACCTACTTTACACCCAGGAAAACCATTAAGTGGATCCAATGGCCCTGCCTTAGAGACACTGACGCCCTCAGGAGCTGCAGGGCAGACTGCTGGTGAGGTGGAAGTAACTTCAGCTCTTTGCTTTCACTGCATGTCTGCCAAAACCCTTCCACATCTTTCTTGCTTCCTCCAGAGAAATGGCTGGACATGGAAAAATCTAGTTTCTGTGGACAGACACAGTCAGTCATTTACATGTATCTGCTTCTAGGCATATGGTCAAATCACTATTATTATAGATTAAAGCAAAAAGTAAATACATCAGAATGAAAGGCACACTAAAACCAAGGGGTCACCTTTTCTGGTCCACCTCTTAGAACACCTGCAAACAATACAGAGTGCTCTAAAAATGTCTGGCTCTGGGCAGGAGACCTCTCTTTTATTGTAAATGTGGCAGGGAAGCCCTGCTAGCTTCTGCAAGAGAAGAGGCGCTGTAGAGGGGCAGGATGTAGAGGAAAAGAAGGATGGTGGTGCACATGGGATCAGTGTAAACCATGACAGGCTGAAGGACGTGGGGTTGGTAGCATGAATGGTGCCCTCCTCTCACCTCCGTGCAGGGCCAGTTTGTAGCACTGTCAGGCAGGCCTAAGGAGATGGGGAAGATCAGACACTAATTGAATAAAATAAAACTACCACAGTAATCTAAAGCAGAACAGGCAGAAGGAAGAGAAGTATCTTTGGACAATCTAGGCAGCACCATATTTCTTTTTATTTCATTTGTGACAATGGGTTCATAAGTATTGACAAGATCAGTCTCAAAATTGGAGGCAATTGCATTCTCAAGTAACTAAATCCAAAACCTGAAGAACTAACAAACAAAATAGTGAGAATGAACTTTTTTTTAATCAAATAGGACCAAAAATAAGCAAGTATATGTTTACATAAAAATAGTATCTAGTCCTACCTGCAGGTCTTCTAGGTATAAGCATGAAATCTTTACTAATTATTAATTATTTTAAATGTGTGAGCTCTAGGGAATCCATTCTAGTTATAACAGCAGTGGAATGTGGGGCATTTTTTTCTCTCATTAGTGAATATCAATAATTGTTATGCATGCAAACGGGACACAAAACCATCTCTGTAAGAGCAGTGCCTAACTGTTTACTGCAAGACAATGCCTTTTCTGTTTGTAATTTTTTTTAAGAGCCATTTGTGTTGAGCTCTCCCACTGAGTTTGGAAGCCTTTGTGTATTGTTATCCACAAAATGCAAAATCCGGTCCACTCTGGGCTTAAAACAAGCCTCAAAGAATTTCCTGACTTACTTTTCAGTGATGAACACTTTCCCAAAGAAAGTGAGAAACTTCTACAATTAGCCTTTATTATTTTAATACTCTCTGAACTGAACTGTTGGCCAAAATTTCAGCTCATGATAAGGCCCATTATTTCTTTATTATATTATTTGCAAAGAATGCCATCAGTTCAGATTGGTCCATTGGTCAATAAATATTATTATGCCACACCAGTGCTTACCACAGGGGGAAAACAGGACAGTAAGGACATAACAGGATTCTCCTCCTTCCCACATATGGTAGTATTTCTAAATAGTCACAATGTCACTTTCTATTATCCATGTTTATTACTGAACAAATATTAATTACATAAGAACCACCAAACAGAGGAAGCAGCTTCCATGTTCAAAAATTGAAGCCTCCTGAAATCAATATCCTAACCCTCTTTCCTGATGCCGCCTCAGGACAACGAAACAAGATCTTCTGTCTCTGTGCATGGCTTTCTGCTCCATTCTCACTTTCAGTAGTAACAGCCCTGCTACTTCTCATCTTTTTCTCTAATATATCTCTGTTCCAACCTATATACTTCATATTCATCCACACTTCCAAGATGATTTCATTCCTACCTTTACTGGGCAGTGATAGATAGTTTGGAAACTGTATTGTTCCTCCAGTAAACAGAATTAGGTTAACTCCTCCCTACCTTTTTTTACCCTGATTTTAAATGAAAAATATTGCTTACACCCAGAATTTCCACAAGTTCTTCTCCTGTGACGATTTTTCTTTGTGAAAACGGTCTTGTGTGAATCACAGTATATTGTACAGCTGACACAGCTCAATTGCAGAAGTGGTGTTCGAAAAGCAATTCAGAGTACAGAGAACTGAAAAAAAAAGGATGAAGCAACTCAAAACTGTCACAATAAAGCCACAATTTCCACAATTCCAATTAGGTAGCTAATTAGAATCCATTGTTAATTACATTTTGCATAGTTAATTATTTTTTTAAAAAGGGTGAATCCTGTCCTTGTTAAAGCAGGCAGTAATGTTTTCATTGACTTCATTAAGCTCAGAAATTCATCCTCATATATCCTTTATTTTACTTGTCCAGTGCCAACCACACTAGTTTTTAGTCTCCCAGAAAAACACAATTCCAAAAGGTTGGTTTCCAGGTTATGTCGTCCATTACAGAGAAGAAAGGTTGTTTTGCTTTCCCCAGGCCAGCCCCCGTGCTTCTATCCAGGGAGTCTCTTGCTTTACAGCCCAAACCAGTCTGATCTGATTTCATCCTACATCTCTGAACTCAACAACAATAATGAATTCTCTGTGGCTATTCCTGTTATTTCTTTAAATTATCAATTCAAAATAATCACTTCATAAAATATTTGAGATGGATGTTGTTCTCTGACTTGCAAAAATAGCTTTGGAAATGCCAGCTTGAGTATGCTCTCTAGACAGATCTTCAAGAGACTTTGGAAATAAACAGTACATAAATATTCAGATATCCATTACAGACCTGTTGAAATTAAAAGCATTTGGTATAGAGTAAGGGATGTATCAGAAATTCACATGGAAAATATATACGTATTCTGTATACTAAAAAACAGCAACCTCCATAAGCTCTCTATCATTTTCAGATTAAATACAATTATTAACTTAAAGCCAAGCAGAAAATGTTTGCATTTAAAAGGCCTTTTCGATTACAGGAATATTCTGTATAAGATTTGCTAATAATACCATCTAATGATCTATTACAGTACTAAGCTACATTCATAAAACTGTTCACCTACAAATCCTAGATTTGTGAAATGATCAAGATATAATTTAAAAATCCACCCAAACATC